CGAGGCCGTGATGGATGTACGGATAACCCAGGTCGTAAAGAGGTGAGAGCGCTGGCTGCCGATCTGACCCCCGGGAGGGATCCACATGGTAGAAGGAGAATCAACTCTCAGAACTCCAGCCTAGCCGGGCGGTGGTGGCGCACGCCTTTACTCCCAGCACTCGGGAGGCAGAGGCAGGTGGATCTCTGTGAGTTCGAGGCCAGCCTGGTCTACAGAGTGAGAGCCAGGACAGCCAAGGCTACACAGAAAAACTCTGTCTCAAAGAACAACAAAAAGAATATGAGCTTTACGTACAAGATAAGCAAAGTGAACCAATCATGGTGGTGTACCCCGGTAATCCCAGCCCTGTGAGGGGGGAAAGAAGCTTCAGGCTCTATGCCAGCCTGAGGTAGCGTGAGACCCTGTTTCACACACACACACAGATTCAAATGAATAATATACCCCCTCCTCCCCCTTATTTTGGTTTCTCTGTGTAGCCTTGGCTGTCCTGGGCTCATAATCCCTATTTCTAACAGAAAACAACGGGTCTCGGTGTGATGGCACACGCTGATAACTCCAGGGCTTGGTAGGAAGAGGCAGGCGGATCAAAAATTCGGGGTCATCCTTGGCTACATAGCCAGTCTGAGGTTAGCTTGGGAAACGTGAGACAAAGAAAGAAAAGAAGGAAGGGAAAATACTATATTGCTTTGCAAACCAAGACCTCCACAAAACTGTCCAGAGTCCCTAAAAGAAGGAGCGTATTTGGCTGTATGGAAAAACATCTGCTCTGATTCCTTTAAAGCCCCCAATTCCCGCGACATTCTCGGGCTTTAAGTGCAGGGCTGGCCTCAAAAGTTGGCCGCCCAACGTTGGGGAAATACAAGCTCACCCCGCTCTTCAGTGCGAACCCCCGGGTCCGGCCTAGGCGGACGCATGCGCTCTTACACCCTCCGCGGGAGGGAGGCGGAGCGTGGAGATTGGCAGGGCGCTCGGCCTGTCGGGCCCAGTCCCGCCTCCCTGCCGCATCCGGTGCGGACGCCATGGTGCGGTTCAAGCACAGGTAAGCTGCGCCCTCCACGCGCCCCGGCGGCGGGCCGGGGCCGCGCTCACCGCTGCCGTCCGTCCGCCGCAGGTACCTTCTGTGCGAGCTGGTGTCGGAGGACGCGCGCTGCCGCCTGAGCCTGGACGACCGCGTGCTGGGCGGCCTCGTCCGCGACACGATCGCCCGGGTGCACGGGACCTTCGGCGCCGCCGCCTGCTCCGTGGGCTTTGCAGGTACCGGGTGGGGGGCGCGGCGGCTCGGGCGCCGTTTGTGCGATATTGGAGGATGCTGGAAAAGCCTGTGAGCCCCTGAGCCACAGAGTGGGGCGAGTCCAAAACTGAGCAAACGCTGGCGATCGCGCAGCCGGAGAGCACTTGCCCAGCGTCACAAGGCAGAAAGTTCATAGCCAGCACCGTGTGTGTGGTGGTGGTGGTGGTGATGGTACGTTTACTGTCCGACGTATTAGTGGGAGATGGGTGTTGAAGTTCCTAGGCTGAGTGAAGGTATCTTTTGAGAATTGCTCGTGAGAGCTAGGATTTGACCGGTTGTGTTAGCACTTTTTAAAATGTCCAAGTTTAAAGCGCCTCTGATGGTAGTGCACAGTAACTCTCACATGGGAAGGCGGGCGAACTCGAAAGCCTTTTTTTTCCTCCCTGTGCCACATTTTAGCGCCTTTTACCGTAAGCTTAAACTTGAATTCTGCAGAATTAAACCCACATAAACAAAGCTCTCTTGCTTTGGTGAGACTACGCTAAGAGGGGCCCACAGAACCCGGCTTTAATGACACACCTATTTCCCGGAAAGGATTTAATGACACACCTATTTCCCGGAAAGGATTATTTCCTTGCTGCCTTAATGGTGGAGCTTCTCTCTCCATTTATTGACCTGAGTAGTCAGTGACTTGACACTGGGAGGTTTATCCTAAAATTTCCTTTCAAGCTGGGCACCGTAGCACTTGAGAGGCAGAGACAGGTTCCAAACCAGCCAGGATGACATAACAGGACTGTTTCAAAGGAATAACAAAACCTTTCAAGAATGTTTTTTAGGGGGGCTGGTGGAGCTGGAGAGGACTCAGCGGTTAAGAGTACTTGTGGCTCTTTCAGAGGACCAGGATTCCATTCTTAGCACCACATGGCGACTGTCTAACTGCAGTCCCAGAGGATGACACCCAGCATACACACTCGGTGCATATACATACATGCAGGCAAAACATCACAAAATTTAAAAATTAAACACTTACTCAGTGCTGCACACACACACCCCATGACACTGGTCTAGAACAGGCGCTGGCACATATTAGGGTTTTCCCTGTTTTTAATTCTGTGAATGGCAAGTTTTCCAATTTCCCCTCCCTACTGTAGTCCGATACCTCAATGCCTACACTGGGGTAGTGCTGCTTCGATGCCGAAAGGACTTCTACCAGCTCGTGTGGTCAGCTCTTCCTTTCATCACGCATTTGGAGAGCAAAGGACACCGTTACCCGTGCTTTTTCAACACACTGCACGTGGGAGGTAAGAGTGGTGGGAGCCTGTGTGTATACGGTGGCTGTTTTCATGGAGTCACTGGTTCAGCCCTTAGTCCTGGCAGGTGGGTGGTCTTCCTGCTGTCCCACCGAGAACAAGATGCTCCTCCCACCCACCCCTCCCCACAAGCTGTTGTCCACAGCAGCTCTCTCCCGTGCCAGGTACAATCAGAACCTGTCAGAAGTTCCTGATTCAGTACAACCGGAGACAGCTGTTGATCTTGCTGCAGAACTGCACTGACGAAGGTAAGCAGCAGCCGGCCGGTGTGAGCAGTGGCTGAGGCCGGTGGGTAGGCTGCTGCCCGAGGATGTCTCTCTTTCCTCTAGGGGAACGGGCAGCCATTAAGAAGTCTGTCTCCAGAAGCTGCCTACTGGACAAAGAGCCAGCCGAAGAGCTTTCAGACAGTGTTGGTGAGGAGGCCATGGAAGCAGCAGAGTGACCCTGTTTCCAGGCCACTTGCGGGATTCTCCAAACTGACCACCAACCAGAGCCAGGTGACCATCTCGAAGTGGAGGGCTTGCTGCCTTCACCACCCATGGTCCTGAAGGCTCTGCACAGCTCTTCTACATGTAACTGCTGAACTGAGTGGGTAGAATAAATATTCTTGGCTTCCAGAGCAACATTCCTAAACCACAAGAAGTACAAAATGAACTATATAGTTCATGCTTGGCCAGGTCTCTGTCCTCTATCACACTGGTCTTAAGTGTGCTCCCTGCGTGTACTAGATGAATTTTAAATATTCCTAGACCCTTAAAAGAACTCATGCAAACCCATACGTGGTGGTGCACTCCTTTAATCCCAGCACCAGGGAGGCAGAGGCAGGTACATCTCTGAGTTTTGAGGCCAGCCTGGCCTACAGAATGAGTTCCAGAACAGCCAGGACTACACAGGGAAAGTGTTGGGGGTGGGGTAAATGCCTGTGAAGCAGAAATATCAGTGAATAACCAACTACACTTGCATAATTTAGAGTCAGTTCAGTACTGTATCCTAGGACTACAAACACCAGGATACCCACCTGACCGTTGCACAGCGCACTCGGTAAGAAATGCAGCCTTCAGCTGGCCCCAGGGAGGCAGGAATGTCACCCTGGTCTGAATGAGAACGGCTCCCATATATCTACTTGGGTTCCCAGGTGGTTGGACTATTTGGGAAGGACTGGGAGGTGTGGCTTTGGAGGAGCCGTGCTATGGGAGTATTTCAAAAGCTCACTCCATTCCCAGTCAGCTCTCTGCCTCCTGCTAATGGATGAGATGTGAGCTGCCAGCTACGTCTCTAGCTCCATGCCTGCCTGTCTGCTGCCATGCTTCCCATAATGGTTGCGGACTCACCCTTTATGGTGTTTGAATAGGTATGGCCCCCATAAACTCATGTGTTTGAATGCTTGGCCCATAGGGAGTGGCACTATTGAGTTGTGACCTTGTTGGAGGAAGTGTGTCACTGTTGGGGCGGGCTTTGAGGTCTCCTATGCTCAAGCTATGCCCAGTGTAGCTCAACAGTTGCTTCTGTTGCCCACGGATCAAGATGTAGAATTAATTCTCAGCTCCTTCTCCAGCATCATGTCTGCCTGCACGCCGCCATGCTTCTTGCCATGAAGATAAATAATGGACTGAACCTCTGAAACTAAGCCAGCCCCAGTTAAAGGTTTTCCTTTATAAGAGCTGTCTTGGTCATTCATGATGTCTCTTTACAGCAATAGAAATCTATCTAAGACACCCTTTATGCCTCCACTAAACCACTGTCAGTAAAGGAAGCTTAGGGTTAAGAGCTGGAATGATGGCTCAGAGGTTGAGAGCAGTGGTCTTCTTCCAGAGGACCTGAGTTCAATTCCCAACACATACATGTGCCACAAACAAATATAAGGTAACTCCAGTTTCAGGGGATCCAACACAGACATGCCTGCAGGCAAAATACCCATACATAGTCTTGAAAGCCATTAGGAGGTGTGACAGGGCCCAGAGCTTTCTTGGTGAAGGTTATAAAGCTTTTCTTAACAAGGATCAACACAAAACCCTCCCTCACTATCTCAGTGCCGAGGATAAGTTACCCCAGGGCTAGCTGCCAGCTGAGGTCTGGCCATGGCAGCCCCTTACCAGAGGAAACCTTCCAATTCTTTTGGTTGGCCTTTTTCTACTGCAGCCATCCAGCCTGGAGCTCACAGTGGTTCCCTAAGCCTAGGCATTAAACTGGATATCCTAACTCTGCTTACTCCTAGTCCTCTGGATCTTTGACAAGGAGAACTTAACAGGTAGGAAAGATTCAACCATTTTAACCAACCACAGACAGAATTGTGCCTGCAAGTCAGGAAGCCCAAACAGGACCGCACAGCAATGCTGTATCACTGGTTTGGCCTGCTCCAAAGGACACTGAGGAGACTACTCAAGCTAACTCTGGGTTGAGAAAATGCATATCTGAATCAAAGACTAGCCTGCAGATGAACTAAGCTTGGCAGGAAGGCGTCTCTTGTGACTGTCAATACTTTATTTTGGTGTAAAGACGGGAAGCTGGAAAATACACTGTATTTAAAATTTTCTTGGTTCCCCCTCACATTGTGGAAACCCCCTCCCCCCTGCCCCAAGCTAATCAATCTGTTCAAACTCAAATACTTAAAAATTACAGCAGCAAAACAAAAGCCGAGGAAAGAAACCAGATGGAGGAGGCGGTGCCTGGGCGAGTAGTGTCACTTGGTGTGGACGACCGAGGTGCTGAACAGGAGCTTCTGTTTCTGCTTCTTCCGTTTCTTTCCTCCTCTGTCTTCTGCGGGAAAACAGCCACCTTAGCTCACACCGCCACCCCGTCCCTGCCTCCCTCATCAGCAGGGCTGTCAGGTGGGCACTGAGGTCACCGTCAACACCACCCTCGTGTGGGGGCTGGAGAGATGGCCCAGGGTCAGGAGCCCTTGTTGTCTTACAGGAAAGAGACCCAAGCCTCAATCGCTGCTACCTGCACCAGTCCCGGCAGGAAGAGCGGCCTATGTGGCTAAGCCTGAGCCCAGTGCTGAGGGAGTTTCCCGCCCTTACCAGAGAGGGGGTCTGAAGTAGCTGGTGTGTCCAATTTCATGAAGGCTGCTTCAATAGCTTGGCTGAAGGAATTTTGGAAACTGGGCACAGGAACACGGTCAGAGTTGTCACTCTCTCCATCGCTGTCCACAGGGGCAGGAGGAACCAAGCTATTCTCGTCTGAAAGAAAAACAAAAACGTTCCAGTTCTAGAGCTTTTATGGAGAGGGGCTGGTCCACACACACCTGCCCTCTCCTGCCTGGTTCTCACCTTTCTTTGGAGCAGTTTTGGGCCACACGTCTGCTTTTGCTTTCCCAACCCTCAGCATCTGCCAAGTGGGGACAAAAGGAAGAACATAAGCTTTTTTCTGACCAATGAATGTCTTTTCCCAGCGTCACCTCCACAAGCCCCTCTCTAGTCTCTTTTCTGCTGCAGCTAATGAGACAGCAGTGTGCCCCAAGGGACGGCCCCAGGGGACTTTACTCCTTAGGAAACAGGCGAAGAATACCCAGGATTCTAATACTAAGAACAAGAGATTCTGTCTTAAGTTAGGAATACTTTGTCTGATGTACTTTACGGCCCCTCTTGAGGCACCTAAGCACACCTGAGCTGGTATGGTGGTTTACACCTATAACCCCAGTATTTGGGTGGCTGAGGCAGGAGGATTACCTACAATTCAAAACCAGTCAGGACTATATGAGTTTAAAGCTAGTATGGAGCATAGAGATTCTATCTCAAAAAACAGAAAATAATTAAAAACAAAATTTACAGTAAGTAGCAGCATATACAGTACCTTCCCCCTTTCTTTTGAGGCTGGGGATGCAGGTCTTCCTACATAGCCTATAGCCCTGGATGTAAATCTGTCTGCCTCTACTGGGAGTAAAGGCTTTTGCTATCATGCCCAGCCTACCTTCTAATGTAAAGAACCCATGCTGATAACCCAGCCTCCTGCTCTAACAGCCCAACAGTGCCTTTACTGTTACTTTCCAAATACCTCCTCCTCAATCATCACCGTTTAGATGTTCAGATGCAGCCACAGACCCGTCCCAACAGTCCCTTAAGGAACTGTCTTCGTTTCATGGTAAGGCCAGCTCTCTATCTGTGGTCACTATATGCTCATCTGCCAAGTTGCCCTGCAGCTCCTACCAGGATTTGTTCCTTCTTGGTTTTGTAGCCTGGGCTGGACTGGAACTTGTGCTGGGATTATAGGCATGGGCTTCTGCACATTGAAACATACAAAGATCTTTCTACCCCACCCAGATCTGGCACAGGATTCAAGCTAGCCTGCCTTATGCTCAAACTTGTGTCCCAAAATGTGACAGGAACATTCATGATGAGTTGTGCTGTGCTGACAGGTATTGGTTTCCCTGGGTGATCTTTCTGTACCTCAGGCTGGTCCTGACTTCCTGATATGTCTTCCTAAGTGCTGGGATTTCAGGCATGCACTTAAACCCCTTTATCTCTTCGAGAGTCCTGTAATTGTTAACTCTGAATATTATGACATCTAATTCCACCTTTTTAAAAAAAAAAAATGGTGCTGGGGTTCAAACCCAGGGCTGGACTCTTCATTTTTAAAAGACAATTCAATGCATCACCAATATTTATTCTCCAAGGAATATTTAGGTGTTTAATCTGAAACTAGTCATGAGGAAACAAGTGGATAAATCCAAACTACAGGCCAGGAGTGGTGGTGCCCAACTGCAATGCCAGCACTCAGAAGCCCAAGGCCTGACGATTCCAAGTCCAAAGCCAGCCTGAGCTACATGGCAAAGCTATACAACTGGCCTGGAAGTTTCAAAACCATCCATTCAAGGGGAACATGAAGTGTTGTGGCCCCAAAGAGGCTGCAGACTCTAAACAGCTATAAGGAATCTCGGAGAGCATCCTGAACTGAGAATGATCAAGGACAATGGGACAAGTGGGGAGAGAGCAATACCCTGGGTATTCAACACAGTAGCAACTGCCTTTACTAGATGTGACGGTGGTGGTTCAGAGAAAATAGTACAGTCCTCAACATGCCCCTCTAGGTATGGAGTGAGCTGTCATTGTGATGTCTGCAACTCTACACAGAAAAAGAGAAAGCGTCCTGCCTCAGGATCACCCAGAGACTGAGGGGATAACCTGAGCTACACTCTGAGTTGCAGATTAGCCTGCACGCCTGTGTGAGACCTTTTTCAAACAACAAAAACCTACAACCATGGGAAGAGAGTGGGGAAAAGAAAAGCAAAAACAGTAAGAATTTGTGAACCCAGGTAAAATACAATGTTCACGATACTATTCTTTCAACTTTTCACAAGTATACGACTGGGAGGAAGAGAAGCAATAAGTCAGTAAAACAGGTTCCAACAACTTAGCTGCACACGAGTACACCCTGAAACCTCGGCAAGGGGCTGAGGCAGGAGGACTCAAGGTCACTCTTGCTACACAGCTAGTTTAAAGCAGACCTTATCTAAAGCAAGCATATAAAATGAAGCACATGCCTACAATCCCAGTACCAAAGAGGCCATGGTAGGAAAATACAAATTCAAGCCCCCCGTCTGGTCTGCCTCCCCACACCAACGCTGAATTCTCGTTTATGCCTCAGCACAAACTATCCATTATCAAGTAGACAGTCTCCATCTCTTTTCCTTTCAAGAGTGTACTCATAACCATCCTCCTCTTTACCTCTGGTGCAGCAGTCAATGACCCGAGGCATTCACCATCAGATTTATTTTTTACTTACTTTCCAATTTATTTTCAACTTTGCAGTTTATCAGATGTAACCTCACTGTAAGCTGAGAAGCATCTAGACCAGCGGTTTTCAGCCTTCCTAATGCTTCGACCCTTTAACAGTTCCTCATGCTGTGGTGACTCCCAACCATAACGTTATTTGTGTTGCTACTTCATAACTGTAATTTTGCTGTTAGGGATTGTAATGTAAATATCTGACATGTGATCCCCAGGTTGAGAACTGCTGATCTAGACTAAAGAACTATTCAAGATTCTAAGCTCTGGCTTCCTCTATAGGTACCTGTGAAGCTGTCCACCCACCTGTCAGTTCTCTGAGCACAGATACACCAAGTGTTTGCCTGTTGTTGTCCTCCCTACAGACCACCAAGGATGTGGCTGTGCCTAGTTACAGGGTAACCAGGATGACCTTTCCCTCTCAAGATGTAGAGGATCCATTCTACATTATATAAACACTACCTACATCTAAGGTCCTAGAACCAGCTGAAATGCACTGATGCAGCCCTCACCTAAGACACTATCTACTTTCTAAGACTCTAATGATCTTAAGTAATTAAAACTTGGATTCTCAACAATGACAAATTCCCCCACCATTGTGCCTCTGATGAGCAATCCACCTGGCTGCTACCCCCTGCTGCCTAAGGTTCTCACCCAGCAGGTGACACTGTCCAGCTATTCTAGGTTGAGGGGCAACAATCCCTGGATGAGGTTCCTGGACAAGCAGCAGAGCTCATGTGGGCTGCCTCACAAGCAAAGGATTTACCTGGGCAAAGGAAAGGAAGGGAGAGTCTTCTTCCAGACTCCCAACGCAGAAGGAAGGACTGCCCTGACTCGCAGTGGGTGACAAAGGGGTCAGCAGAAAGTCTGAAAGGGAATCAGAGGCCTGATTACATGAGTCAGGTTCCAAAGAACAGGCATGCTCTTAACAAGAAACAACCATGAAAGCCAGCCATGGTGGCACATGCTTGTAACCCCAACTCAGGAGGCTACATCAGGAGGATGTTTGATGTCAACTCCGGCAATATAGTGAGTTCCCGACCAGCCTGGCTTCAGAATGCCACCTTGTCTCAGAGAGGCAGGGGAAGAGGAAGAGAGAGAGAAGAGAATAGCTGTAACTGAATCAGGGTTGGATAACCTTGCCCATAAAACAAAAGGTAACCCTTGATTCAGATGTTAATTCTGCCATGTTCTTACACAACATCTTGCATCACCTACACCAGTGAACAGATTAGAGGCTTCTTCATGTTACTGTAACACTTGCAGCCACAGCAGGACAGGCCTTTCCACAGGAAACATTACACCTTCCACAAAGACTGGCTCTCAAGCTAGCTAGGGTGGCTCCTGACTGTAATCCTAGCAGTTGGGAAGTTGAGGCAGGTGCATCATGAGTTCAAAGCCAGTCTGGGCTACATGGCAAGCCTGTCTCAAAATATAAAAACAAAAGGCTGGCTCTCATAGACTATAGTTGTTTGCTATTGACTGGTTTTATGTGCATGGACAACTTCAAGAAAACAAACAAACATCTAGATCTCCCTTTATGGCCAGCCACTATGACATGGAAATACTAGGATTCAAGACACACACCAAGTTAGTTTTCCTCTCGAAACTCCTAGGCAGTATTCTGTCCTTTCTCACCTACAGCTGCGTCTCACACATTACTCTCTCCACTGCCTTGGGGACTGCTAGGCAAGGGCGTCATGTCTCTTCCACACTCAGCAACCTTTATTGGCAGTTTCACTCTGAGGACCAAACCATCTTCCTGATGCCTCAGAAACCCAGACTCGCAAAACAAACAAAGCCAAACCTGGCAGATGAGACCTCTTTCTACCCCTCGGACAGTGTACCCAGCAATTCACAGTATTTTTTCACGCAGCAGCTTCCTTCCCAGTTAACTGGAAAAGCACCATGGTTAGACTGTCCATCCCCAAGAACCAAATTCTAGCCCCAGTTCCTGCCACTGAAGTCCCTGCACGCTCTTAGTCTCAGGCTCTGTGCTGGCTAGTTTTGAGTGTCAACTTTACACAAACTAAGGTCACTTAGGAAGACGGAATCTTAACTCCACTGAGACAATGTCTCTATAGGACTGGCCTGCAGGTAAGTCTGTGGGGCACTGAAGACGGATGTGGAAGGGCCCAGTGTACCATAGCAAGTGGTCCACACATCCAGCCTATAAATACGTTTTAACTGAGCCATTTCCCTACTGTGCATTCAGTAGTCTGATTTTCTCCCCTATTAATTACAATCAATATTACAACAGAGACTTTAACAAACGTGCTCAAACATGAAAATTAGAAGAGGAAAACAAAACAACCTCCAAAAAAACAAAACCCAGGACAGAAGGGTCAGAGGATACCAACTGCGTTGAGGTTTTGAGAAGCTGGCAGGTCTAAACCAGTATAATCAATGGGAAAGAGTGATAAAATAAGAATCAATGTAGCTCAGGGCTAACAAATTTTTCACTTAAATGGCACATTATGCCAAGTTGGTCAGAGCTATAAATTCAGACACTAGGGACTATGCTTAAGGTTAGGGCCTGGTTAGTTCAGTGATTAAGGTCACTTGTTGCTCTTGCAGAGGACCTGAGTTTGGTTCCCAGCAGCCACATGGTGGCTGACAACCATCTGTTCTAACTCCAGTTCCAGATCAGACATCCTCTTCTGATCTCTAGGGCATCAGGCATGCATGTGGCACACATATACATCACAGGCAAACATTCATACACATTTAAAAATTAAATCAAATTAAAGCTCTAGGCAGTAGCAGAATTCATTAAATACCAACTCTTTACCTGCATGAGAACCTGGACTTCTGCTAAGAGGAGAAAGGGAGAGGGCCCCATGGCCCTCAGTGCTGGTGGGACCCAAAGCAGAATCAGGGGAGCAGGTATAGGAATTGAAGGCAGGAAACTGCTGAAGGTTCTCTAGGGGAATGTGGACTTCAGGATCTGCAAAGCAAAGGCAATGAGAAGTCATCACACAACTGTTTGTATTTCCTCTAAAAAGAGGGTCTGGAGAGCCGAGAGGATGCAAACAATTAAGTCTGCTTTCATAACAATCCATGCTATGTGTAATCCAGCATGCAGGACGCTGCAACAGGAAGAGCAGACTGAAGGCCATCCTAGGCTCTATAAAGCAGAGCCCTGCCCCCACTCCCTCAGAGAAGACTGGCTGTGGTGCAAGCCTACACATCCTCAGCACTCAGGAGACAGACGGAGCTAAGGTCAGCCAGCTCTACACAGTAATTTCAGGCTAAACAGTGAGCTGTTGTCTCAAAAACAACACACAAAAAACTAACAAAACATATTAATGAAATAAGAGGAGAAAAAAAACCCAAACTTTTCTACTCACTCGAACAAGTCAATCTGTGCCCACACTGGATGGAACCGGGGGAGCTGAGTCCTTTCCCAGTCAAGCACTAAAACCCTCCTTTTCTTTTCTTTTTCTGGGACAAGGTTTCTCTGTGTAGCCCTGGCTGTCCTAGAACTCACTCTGTAGCCCAGGCTGGCCTCGAACTCACAGAGATCCTCCTGCCTCTGCCTCCCGAGTGCTGGGATTAAAGGCAGGCGCCACCACCACACCCAGCGTTTTCTTTTGACGTTATCCTCCTCTTCTAAGTTTACAACAGTCTGAGTCACCAGGCCCAGCTCTAGTCCGTGTTTCTATTGGTAACTAGGTCCTCGAGTCACACTAATCCCGGAGTTAGTGACTTACTCTAGAGTCACATCAGAAGGCTGCTCCCTGCTCCAGGGCGCTCTCATGCCCAGCCCTGCGTGTTTCCCACGGCTGTCGCTGTGAGCGCCGCCTTTCAACGGTCGTGTCCACGGCACGTGGAGCAGTGCTCCAGTTCCCTCCCACCAACAGGTCCGTCACCCACCGTGCCGGACACACGCCATCCTCACCTTCCCACACTCCTCATGGAAGAGTAAGGAAGAGGAATGGCAGAGCACAGGCAAGCAGCCGCACACAACCACACAGGGCAAAGCCCGCAGACAGCGCCCTTGGACTTACACCTGCCCTGTCTCTGGTTCTCCTCCATCTCAATCCTGCGCTCCCGGCGACGCTCCTCTCGAGCCTTCTTTTGGCGCTGCCGCTTCCTTTTCTCAATGTCATCTGTGGGTTGGTCAGGTTGTAAGAAAGCCAGCTCAGCCATGACCTCTTCCTAGATACCTAGCAGCCTGTGGGGCATCTGGACTAGGGATGCCTCCTGTCTCAGGAGCTAGCTCAAGCCCTCTTTCCACCTCGGTTCCCAGTACAAAGAGAAACAAAGCAGGGCTTTCTCACCTGAGAACATCTCCAGGGTTTCCTTCGAGACCACAGGAGGCTGCAGAGCCAGTTCACAGATGCTGAACTCACAGGTGAGTGGCAAGTGAGAGAGATACCTATGGCGCTGTCGAACGTCCTACATCGGAAACAACCAATGCTCAACTGCTCTTGAGAGCAGAGGATCCCAACCCAGAATCCCAGCGTGAACACACACTTAGCACTGGGTGGGACGCAGCATAGTGCTGCTGGTACTGCTCTCCCTCTCTCTTTTTTTTTTTTGGTTTTTTTGAGGCAGGGTTTCTCTGTGTAGCTTTGTACCTTTCCTGGAACTCACTCTGTAGCCCAGGCTGGCCTCGAACCCACAAAGATCCGCCTGGCTCTGCCTCCCGAGTGCTTGATTAAAGACAGGCGCCACCACCGCCTGGCGCTATTACTGCTCTTTTGAAAAGCCAGGCACTAAGGGCAGCCGACAGTTAGAATACCCATCAGACTCACTGGTCGTCAGATTGAGCTACAAGTGAGTAAACTGAGCCCTAAATGACCTAAAGCTGCCCACTGTTTCTAAATGTCTAGGGCCCACAATCAGCGAACTGGGGACCACTGGCAGTCCTGGGGAAGAAGAAAGTCGAGAACCCTGCTGAGTGAAGTTAGGCCTGAACAGGAAACCAAAGCCTGTTCACCAAGTTTCCACTCTTTTTCTGGATTTATTTATTCCATGCACAGTTGACCACTGAATGACAAACGATTCACATATGTGAACCGTCAAACTGTAATTCAAAGGTATCTTCCAAACTAGAAACCTACTTCCCGCCTGTGTAACTTCGCTTAAACCCTCCAAGGACTTGGATTTTGACCATCTCTTTGGAGCAGTAAGCAGAGGAGAGGCCAGCCTGATCTGCACAGCACCTTCGAGGATAGCCAGAGCTGCCTAACCCCGTCTCAAAAGTAACAAACAAACCACAAACAAATATGTTAAGGGCCCTAAAGGTTTGCAGGTGAGTTCTACCCCGACGAGATCAGGTTCGTGTCACACCCTGCTCTTCCCTTCCCAGAAAGCCTTACCTCAGACATGGAGTAGCCGGCAATCTCTACCACGGTTGCTGAGATCTTCTCTGGGCTCTGCTCCAGGCTGCCGTACTCGCGCACCAGGCAGCGCACATTGACGGGGTGCAGGAACATGTGTTGTCCGTCCTCCGCTAAACACAGAGCTCTGTCACACGAGCCCGGCCAGCCTGCCCCACGGACCTCTCCCAGCTGGGCCTGCCACTCCCACGTGCCCCCAGGATCTAGTCAACACCTCCCCTTGAAGCCCTCCCTCTTCTTGGGGCCCCTCACCTTGGTAGAAGTAGTAACAGGGAGAGCTGTTTAGCTGGGGGAAGCCTGGCTTCGTGAGGCGCTCCTCCTGGCTTGACTCAGTACAAATGGTCCCCTCGCCAAGACTGGCATCTGCTGCCTCTGCCATCTCACAGGCTTCTGGCAGCCCCTCAGGTTCGGGCTCAGACACTGCTTCCTCTTCTTCTACCAAAGGGAGAGCGAGAGGACGAGGGGAGTCCAGAGAACGAACTTCTGCAGCTTCTTCATCCCAAGCAGACAGGTACTCTAGCACCCCCTGTCGGAACAAACCACAGGTCAACAGAAAGCACTGTACCGTTTCAGGAAACGATGTGGCTCTCATGGTCATCACCGCCACAGAACAAGGTGACGACCTGGTCCCGAGGACACACGGCACCCGGGCTCCAGCCGTCTGGAGAACGGCAGGCAGCACTCAGTTCTCACTCAGGGCGCTCGCTCACCCTCCTGGGTTGGAAAACGGACTCCTTCGCCAGGGGAGCCATCAGCACCAGTTGTTCCAGAGCAGCCACGACACCAGTGACCTCCTCCTCTCCGCCTCCAGCCACTCCAGACAGAGCCTCTTCCCGCATCTGAGGCCACCAGAGAAAAGACCAGAAACACGCGCATTTTAAAGTTCAAGCAGAGACTCTCACGGCTTACGTTGAAGAACGCGGCTGTAGAGGATACAAGAGTACTTCTTTGGCTAATCCTACGTACTCCCAATCTTTAACAAGTGTTGCTAAGACCTGGTGGGCAAACCATAATACTCTCTCCAAAATGTCTCCCAAAACTGTTCCTAGACAGGGAAAAAACACTACCTTGCTTTTTAACTCAGAAGAGAGCTCAAACAGAAACCCCATTGTTACAGTGAGTCACAAAACCATTGTGAGCTATTACTTTCGGCTCTAGAACGAGTCTGAAAGCTAACTCAGCCCTTCCTTCCGATCACCACTTACACGGCCTTCTCAGCCACTCCTTGGAGCTGATGTAACTCGGTTTTCAGTTCCCAATGGACCTACCTTAACCTCCTGGAGAGCGGCCTCAATAAAGCAGGACTCAGGAGTGTGCTTCTCCTCTGCAAGCTGCTGCTCTAACGCGACTTTCTCCTCCAGAACTACTCGGTGCAGCACCTGCTCCTTAGAGGCCAGCAGCAACTTGGAGTACTGGCTGTGCTGTTCATCTGCAAGACAGTCGGGGTCACACAGCTCAAGGAGGGAGGCGCTGGGACTAAGGGGAAACTGTCTCACATAGACTACCTGCCCTAGGCACAACTTCCTGGGAACACTAACGGATAATCTTAAACTAGGTTAATTCAAGAAGTCTAAGGAACCAGAAAAAAGGGGCTGGAGAGATGTTTCAGCAGTTAAGAGCACTGACTGCTCTTCCAGAGGACCCAGGTTCGATTCCCAGCATCTGCATGACAGCTCACAACTGTCTGTGACTCCACGATCTGATACCCTCACAGACATACACGCAGGCACAACACCAATGTACATAAAATAAGAACTAAAACAAAAATAAAGAAAAAAATCAGTCTGCTGTCTACTAATTAGAACATTCAGTCTAACATAAGGAAATGCTTGGAAAGATGGTTTTCTAAGAATGAGTGACGGGAACAAGCACTATATTGTACAACCACTGTCAATTCTTGTTTTAAGAAAGAAATAGGGGCTGAGCAGAAAGCTGAGCAGTGGAAAGCACTGACTGCTCTTCTAGGACTCCAGTTTGATCCCCAGCACCCACATGGCAGCTCACAACTGTCTGTAACTCCAGTTGCAGAAGATCTGACACCCTCTTCTCTTTCCACGGGGCACTGCACATACTCCATGCACAGCCATGTAGGCAAAACACTCAGACACAGAAAATAATTTTAAAAATAAAACACAATCTCTGTGCGTTTGAGGCCAGCCTGTTTTACACAGTCAGTTCCAGGAGAGCTGGAGCTACATAAGGAGACCCTGTCTTGAAAAAACAAAATCCCAAACCATGAAAAACAACACAAGAGTGTCACACCAGCATATCCAGCCTCAACCCCAGAGAGTGTGAGTGAACTGAAGAAGCCCATCATTTTGGGGTAACCTTTAGGGGAAAGGCTCATGCATGGCTTATTTCCTTCCTTCCTTCTCTAATACTTTGTTTTTTTTTTTCAGACAGTGTCCCATGGAAGTTCAGGGTGGCTCCAGCTTGTTATGTAGCCAAGGGTGACCTTGAACTTCTGAGCCTCCAGCCTCAGCCTCCTAAATGCTGGGGTCACAGGCGTGCACCACCCTGGCCAGCTCTTCCCTTGTGTTTCTGCTGTCACCAGTGCTGGGGGTTGAACCTACAGACTTGCCCATGCTAGGCAACCACACTGCCCCTGTGCTACACCCCTGCCTTTGTTTGAAGACAAGTTCTCATTGCATGGCCTAGGCTAAAACTTGTTTATCCAAAGGATGGATTTTTGTTGTTGCTGTTTTTTGAGACACGGTTTCTCTGTGTAGCCCTGGCTGTCCTGGATCTCGATCTGTAGACCAGGCTGGCCTTGAACTCACAGAGATCCCCCTGTCCCTGCCTCCCAAGTGCTGGGATTAAAGCAATGTACCACCTCCCCCCAGCTTCTCGCTTACTCCTGCTCACCTCCTAGATGAATCGGATGGTCTACATTCATCCACTTGGATTTAGGCAAGGCCACCAACACTCCTTTCTCTCTCTTCATCAGCTGCATTGTAATGGTGTCCCCCACAACATACTGGCGTGATTCTGTGGCAACAACACTGAGACAGAAATGTTTAGATGGAGCAGAGTAAGAAGGGAGCAGCCTAGGGTCTAACACAACTCTCTGTCCTACCTCTTGAGATCCTTCTTGTGCACAGAGCTGTAGCAGATGGGACATTTACTCCAGGTCTTCTCACTGAGGGACAGGTAGTGCAGGATGCATGCCCAGCAGAAAATGTGTCCGCAGCGGGTTATCTTGGCTGCAGTAGGTGGATAGAGGCATATTGGGCAAGATGGCACTTCATGGCTACAGATGCGCTGGAACACAAGACAGCACAGCATCACTGCTTTCAGAACTAACGGGGCAGAGGGTGACAAAGCCAGAAGCCTCTCCTCTCCTGCTCTTACAAAACTGTTTAACAGACGAGTTGCCTGGAGAGCTGGCCGGCTCGGCAATCAGAGCACTTGCTCTTGTGGTGGTCTGAGTGAGAAGGGCCCCACGTCATCCCCAGTCAGCTCTGTCTCTGCCTGGTGGTTGTTTCAACATTAAACTCAGCTGCTGCTCCAGGACCAGCCTGCCGCCGTGTCCCCTCCAGGACAGTCTGGACCCACCCCCTGAAACTGTTAGCAAGCACCCAACTGAACAGTTTCCTCTATAATTCATGGCTCCCAATGGCAACAGAAAACACACTGCTCTTGCAGAGGACCCAGGTTCAGTTCCCAGCACTCACATATGGCTCATGACTCTGTAACTCCAGTTCCAGGAGATCTAGTGCCCTCTTCTGGCCTCCACAGGCACCAGGCATGAACAGCATACTTACAAATACACAGGCAAGACATTCATATACATACAATAAAAATAAATAAAGTCTATTTAATAATACAGAATGAACACACATTAAGCAAATTAAGAAATCCACCATCATGGGCTAATCTAACAGGACAGGTAATAGACACTTGGAGGGCTCTACATTACAGGGAAAATGTCATAAATCACATGACCCCATTTTCACAATTTTTAAATATATGTATTTAACAGAAGGCATAAAAATCCAGATTTAATTTACTGATAACTTCAAACAGAGTAGGGAAGACCTTCACTTTATGTTTGTTTGTTTGTTTGTTTTAAACAAGGGGAAAGCACCTGTGCCAATCTTTTTTTCTTTTAAGATTTTTTTTATTATGCATACAGTGTTCTGCCTGCATGTATGCCTGCAGGCCAGAAGAGGGCACCAGATCTCATCACAGATGGTTGTGAGCCACCATGTGGTTGCTGGGAATTGAACTCAGGAGCTCTGGAAGAACAGCCAGTGCTCTAAACTGCTGAGCCATCTCTCCAGCCCTGTGTGTCTGTTTTTTTACCCAATGTATATAAGTGTTTTTTTCCTATAAGGCATTCTACGTCATTCTTAGATGATTGTGTAATTTTTTTGTTTTGTTCTGTTTTTCGAGACAGGATCCGTGTAGCTCTGGCTCTCCCGGATCTCGCTCTATAGACCAGACTGTCCTCGAACTCACAGTGATCTGCCTGCCTCTGCCTCCTGAGTGCTGGGATCAAAGGCATTCGCCACTACCACAACCCAGCGATTGTATAAATTTTTAAAGCAACAGGAGTCAAAATTTGTCAGAATAACATAAAAGTAAGAGTACTTATTATTTTGAAAGTAACTACATCATACACCCTGTTAGGATCAGCAAGGAGACACAAGTTCATAAACTCAGCAGAAAAAAATGCAGGACTGGCTTTGCAGAAAACCAACCACCTGCTAATTTGACACCAATTACGACAAGGGGCTGCCAATGAAGAAATGTCCGTGTATCTGAGCTCAGCCTGGTATGAGGTAACTCGAGTTCCTCTAACAGACTCCTGGTTACGACTTCCTCAACAATGACTGACAGAGAGGGAGGAATGCTTACGTGCCCTTGGAGCAGAGTCCGCCCGGCAACAAAATGAACTCCAAGAGGAACAAGGAACTGACGTGTGCCCCGAGTTTAACACCGCTAACAGCTGCCGTACCACAGCCTTTCTTTAGCTCTCCCACTGAGGATGACAAACCTGGCAAGGCCACTCACCACTTGTTCCACAAAGTCCCAGTTCACTAAGGTGTCAGGGTCAGCAAAATGAGCTGTGTAGTCCTGGTCTGCAGACACCACAAACTGGCAGCTAGAAGGAACAGGAGGGACAGGGAGAGAGGAGCCGTCAGAAACTCACCACCTCTCGGAGTTCATCAGGATGCTGGCCAAGAGTGGCTGAGGCTGCCAGGCTGCAGCAGCATGACCCCAGACTTAGCCGCAGCTCTGAGTCCTGGCTCCACGAGGAGTCTAGACTCAGTGGGCAGATGCCCAAATCCATCAACTATTTCCTCAGCTTTCAAGCCTGGCCAAGCTCCTTGTTGTTCTCCCTTGAACTAAAATTAACCCAGACTGAGACTTCCTCAACCCTTGGACCCTATGACCACAGCTCATCTTCATGGCAGCAGAAAGCTGTTCTCAATCATCTGAGAGCAGTCTGCATTAAGTACACAATGGTGCTTTAGTTTATACCCAAGGTCCAATCCACGTCTAAAGACTCACAGAAGGGGAAGGGTGGGGAAGAGACAGCTTTCCTGCCTACTCCATCTTTATCAGTTCCTAGCAATGAGCCTTTCTAGAACTGTGGAAGGTAAACAATTGGGCTCCACATGTATCACGGCAAACACGCAAACACGCAAACACACACACACACACACACACACACACACCGCTGGAAAATGTCTGTTTCAAGGAAAACACCGTCTTGCAGAGAACCTGAGCTCAGTTCTTAGCACTCATGTCAGGAGGCTCAAAGCTGCCTCAACTCCAATTCCAGGAGAACTGGATGCCCGTCCTCCTCCCAACACCAGCATTCAGGGGCACACACTCTCGCACACACAATTTAAAATACAATCTTCTGAAAACAGGGTGCGTACTTTATCTGCTTATATAAAGGTTAGGAAGAACATGTGTGTACGGGTGTTTTGCCTGCAAGTGTCTGTGCACCCACAAGCTGAATGTAGTGCCCTCAGAGGCCAAAAGATGGCGTCAGGTACCCTGAACTAAAGTTACAGATGGCTGTGAGCCACCATGTGGGTTCTGGAAACAACCTGGGTGCTCATCAGGTGAGGGCAGTGCACGCCTTTTATCCCAGCACTCAGGAGGCAGAGCCAGGTGATCTCTGTGTGTTTAAGGCCAGCCTGGGCTACAGAGTGAGTTCTAGGACAGGCACAAAGCTACACAGGGAAACCCTGTGTTGAAAAACAACAACAAACCAGAACACCACAAAAAGGAGCCTGGGCCCTCTGGAAGAGAAGCTAATGCTCCTGACCCTGGAGCCACTTCTCCAGGCCCCAGAGTGCTCACTCTGTGCAACCATTTTATCAAAACTGCCTGGACCTGGGGTGAAAGTCTCCAGAGGCCCAATGGTGGCCTGAGCTAGACAGAATCCACAGTCTAAGAACCGTCTGTGTGAGCTGCAGAAGCCTCACAGTCAAGTGCGCCCTGCGACTCAGGGAGGCCTGACCAGGAGAGCTCGCCGTGGAAGCTCTTCAGTTGCACCTCAGCTCGTCCTCTCCTAAGCTAACACATGATCAGAACTGTTCTGTTCTGGTCCCCACCCTCCCTGGACCCGTGATTTCTTCCCAGTCCACTGCACAGCAGAGCTCAGACCACACAGCATTCCTAGTCCCGGAAGTTACACTAAGCACTACGTTCTCTAAGTACTGAGAACGTTCACTTAGAAAACGTTGACAGTGCCCACCCATGGACACCAAAAAAAAGAAACAAGAGACCGTTGACAGGGAAGAAAAGACCACCACCAATGTCTCTTCTGTTTCTCCCCATAACAGTGTAGAGAACGCTTCCTCCAAGGATGCAACCATCTAAGCAGGTTTTTCATTTTTGTCTCACAAGTGGAAATACTCACTTGGCCTGTAAAAAAAGTTCCTTGTTAAAAGGTTTGTGTCCCCACTTGTTTCTTTTTCCCCAGCTGCCATGTCCACTGCCTTCAAAGTGACCTCCTTGGCCACGGGGTTCAAAGGTGAAATTCAACAAGTGGTTCAGGTTGATCTTCTTAGGGCCAGAGAACTGGGCAGGGCTAAACTCTGCCCGCTGAGCCTCTGCTACCTGGAAAGAATAGCAACATTTTAGATTCAAATAATTGACCAACTGACAGCAGCAATCAGCACATCCTGCTTCCACACGGCTGGAAACACTGCCACGCTGGCGTAAATGCTGACCTAAGCTATGTCTGGAAGAGCAGAGAGGAAAGGCCTTTAGATCCCCTTAAACTGCAGCCTGCTCTGCTAAGCAGCGATTAACTATTCAATGACAAAGCACCGCACAACCTTCTCTAGTCACCGAGAAGCACAAAGGGCTTCTCTGTGCAGCCCTGGCTGTCTTTTCTGGATCTCCCTCTGCAGACCAGGCTGGCCTCCAACTCAGAGATCTGCTTGCTTCTGTTTCCCGAGTGCTGGGACTAAAGGTCAGAGCTACCACAGCTGGTTCTTTTTTAACCTCTCCCCCCCCCCCCAAACCTATTATTTCTTTTTACACACAAGCAAAAAACCTGGAGCTCCAACAAAGGCAAATGTAACACTTTCACTGTCTAGTCAGATGTGAAGGTTTTTAATAAGCTGCACACTCACAAGCACACAGGCACACAAGAGTGGCTCACCCTGTAACGCTAGCACTGAAGAAGCAAAACAAACAAAACCAAATCAAAACCCTAGAGAATCCAGGGAAGACAAAAAGGGAACGCACTATAAGGACTTTTTATGCAGAAGCACAAATGTGCAGTCTGAGAAAGTCTATGTATACAGTACCATTCCAACCTTTCAAAACAAATACAGTGGCCAAGTGTGGTGTTATAATCGCAATACTTAAGAGGTGAAGGCAGGCCGGGCGGTGGTGGCGCACGCCTTTAATCCCAGCACTCGGGAGGCAGAGACAGGCGGATCTCTGTGAGTTCGAGGCCAGCCTGGGCTATCAAGTGAGTTCCAGGAAAGGCGCAAAGCTGCACAGAGAAACCCTGTCTCGAAAAACAAAACAAAACAAAAAAAGAGGTGAAGGCAGACCATGCAAGCTGGGGACTAGCCTGTGCTACACAGCAATTCCAGGCCAGCCCGGACTATAACGTACCTCCAGAAAACAAAACAGTCAGCTGTGGCACACAATTAGACAGTTTCTCTTTTCACAAAGCACCAACCCGAGATCTAAGAGTCTGCACTCGTCAACCCCGCCCCCACCACTCTAGGGGCTAGAGAGACGGCGGCGGCGGCGGGTCAGTGCTGAGGAGAGAACAAGTGCTTCTGCACAAGACAGGGTCTGCTCCCCAGTACCACGTGGGGGTTCACAACCATCCACTAATTCCAGTTCCAGAGGATCCAACACCCTCTTGTCTCAGAGATTGGTCGAGCTGAATGGCCAATAGCTAGCAGAAAAGGGATAGACGAGGCTGGCGGGCAGAGAGAATAGGAGGAGAAATCTAGAAAAAAGGAGAATGAGAGGAAGGGGGAGGAGGAGAGAACCAGAAGCCAGGCAGCCAGCAGTGGGCAGATATAAGAAGCAATGAAATGGGCTGGAGAGATGGCTCAGAGGTTAAGAGCACTGACTGCTCTTCCAGAGGTCCTGAGTTCAATTCCCAGCAACCAACCACATGGTGGCTCACAACCATCTGTAATGAGATCTGGTGCCCTCTTCTGGCCTGCAGTCATATATGCTGTATACATGATAAATAAATAAATCTTTAAAAAAAAAAAAAAAAAAAAAGAAGCAATGAAATAAGATATACAGAAGGAAAAAAAGTAAAAAGCCCTGAGGCAAAAGGTAGATAAAGAGAAACAGGTTAATTTAAATTAAAAGAGCCAGCCAGAAAGGAGCCTACAGCAGGACAGGCTGCAAAACTAGTAAGTCTCTGCATCATGATTTGGGGGCTGGCTGGTGGCCTAGAGAAAAAGTCTGTTATAGATTGTCTTTCCACTGCCCTTACCCCTCACCCCCAGACAGGGTTTTTCTGTGTAATAAATAGTCTTGGCTATCCCAGAACTCGCTCTGTAGACCAGGTTGGCTCTTTCCACCTTTCTAATGTGGCAACTGGAAGCCTTAAAATCATGTTGCTGAAGCTGGGACACAGCTCAGTGGTAAAACAGTGACTAGCACGTACAAGGTTCTGCGTTTTGAGCTCCAGAACTGCTAAAGAAAATAGTAATTGCCAGGTGTGGTGGCGCACACCTTTTAGTCCCAGGACTGTGTAGGCTGAGGTAGGCAGATCTGAGTTCAAGGTGAGCTCCTGGTCTACAAAGTCTCTGGGCAGCCAAGGCTATAGCATGACCCCGTCTCAAAGAACGGCACTTGCTGCTGCTCTTGCAGAGGTTCATTTCCGGCCAGCACACAGCATCTTAAACAGATTGTAACTCCAATTCCAGAGGACCTGACACCCTCTTTTGGCTTTTTCTGGTATCTGGTGCAAATAGTGCACAGACATACATGCAGGCAAACACTCATACTCACTCACTCACACGCGAATGAAAAGAAATTAACAATTGGGTGGTGGTGGTGCTGCTGCATACTTTTAATCCCAGCACTTGGGAGGCAGAGACAGGTAGATCTCTCTGAGTTCAAGGCCAGCCTGGACTAAATGGAAAAACCCTGTCTCAATAAACAAATGAGAGGGAGAGAATGCGAATAAAACACATGGCTTTTTGGGGGTGTGTGTGTGCAGAAGCGTTGCATCAGAGACGGTCTCACTGTAGAGCCGATGCTGATCTTGGATCCACGCTCTTCTCACCTCTGCCTCCCAAATGCAGGGACTGCAGCCTGCAGCTTGCTTTCCACTGGACAGCAGTGCTCTACAGTTTGAACCATGCTGCTGACAAGCACACGCCTGTCACAGCTGAGCATCACTTGAACCAGGAACTCACTGTGCTCACAATTCTTGTTTGTTTGTGGCTGAGACAGGCTCTCACCATGCATCCTGACTTGCTTGGAACTCATGTTAGAGACCTCATCCACCCTGTCTCTGTCTCAGATAGAGTGGAATTAGAGGCATGTGCTTCCCCACCTGCATAATTCCACCAATTCTTTCCCTCTCCCGTCACTACACCAATGATCCACTCACTCTCCGACCTCTTTCCCCATCTGGCTTAGTCCCTGTGTTCGGCAGCTGGCCCTCCCTACCCGCCCCAGCAGCCCTAGTGCAGTGACGTAAGAGGTCTCAGTGAAGTAGCCCCTTACACCGTTAGCAGCCACAGTGCGATCACACTTCAGCCCACCCTCCCTCCCTCCCTCCCAGACAACCCCTTCACCCCTCAGGCTCCCAAACCCAGTCTCGGATCACCGTACACTGAGAAAATGAGCCCCGTGAGTTAGGAACACCACAGGCCTCTTGTTACTGTGCTGAATCGGCAGAGCCTTCCTCATGCCACCCCTGGGGCTTCTTCCAGAGGTCACCGCGTCGTCGATGCACTGTGCACACTCCACGTCCCTGCTGTCATCCCCTCATCAACCACCCATTGGGAGAGATGCTGCACTTCCTCCTACCCTAACCATAAAGCCTCTCCTGCACTCAACACTTTTTAGTATTTCAAAAGGTTCTATTAAGACAGTTGTGGTGGTACATGCCTGTAATTCCAGTACTCAGGAGACAGAGGCACGAGGACCTCTCAAAGTTTAAGGCTAGACTAGTCTACATACAAGTTCTAGGTCTACATAGTGAGCCAGAGCTACATAGTGAGACCCTACCTCAAAATAAATAAATAAATAAGTAATAAATAAGTAAGTGAATTCCAGTAGCTAGCTGGATCTGTATGATCCAACTCTCTGGTCAACACAGAGAGCTCCAGGACTATACAGTAAGACCTATCTCAACCAAAATAACCAAGATCTCATCAAGATTTTTAAAAATTACGTGTGTATGTTTGTGTCTACATGTGTCTATGTGCATCAGAGAACAGCTGCCGGAGGCCAACTCCAATCCCCTGGAGCTGGAGTTACAGGGGTTGTGAGCTGACCCACAGCCTTCTGCAGGAGTAGAGCGCTTTTACTGCTAAGCCATTCCTGTCAGCTCCCCTCACACTGTTCAAGCACCACCTCACCTCTCTACACCTCTCTACTTCCCTTCAGAGCAGACGCTGCCCTTTCTCCTTCCCATCCCCCACTCTCCCGACTCTAGGCCGACCACACTTCTGTCATTGGTCCACCAACACGACTCAAGGCCGGTGACCTACTGACCAGCCTTCCCAGTCTCTAGTCCTGGTCTACCTCAACAGCAGGACTTGAGCAGAGCAATGAGCTTCTCTCTCTGGCTCAGCGCTTGCACCTGCCCTGCTCCCAGCACTCTGCAGGGCTCCCATGTGGTGCTGTGGCTCTCAACTCCAGCAGTGTTCCCTTGCTCCATTCACATATCTTTCAGAATCTACCTCTGCAGCCTGGCTGATGGCACAGGCCTCTGATCTCAGCACCCAGGACGCTCCAGCAGCCTGTGCCATACATACAGTGAGACCGCTCCAAAAAAAGGCCGGGCGGTGGTGGCGCACTCCTTTAATCCCAGCACTCGGGAGGGAGAGGCAGGTGGATTTCTGTGAGTTCGAGGCCAGCCTGGTCTCGTCTCCAAAGCGAGTTCCAGGAAAGGCGCAAAGCTACACAGAGAAACCCCGTCTCGAAAAACCAAAATAATAATAATAATAATAATAATAATAATAATAATAATAATAATAATAAATCAAAGGAGGAGAAACTCAAGTATCTCACAGGATGGACCAGAAGAGTTCCTCCAGCACTTTTTACTCTTCCATCAACACTATCTGATCCGATAACACTCACCATCAGGTAAAGAACACACTGGTTACTGACCCGCCAGACTAGAGGATTAGCCCCTAGAGGACAAAGACAGTGAATACTGTTGAATGCTCTGCTTCCAACTGCTCAATGTTTTTGGCGCAGTTCCCGAGGAGGAAGTAATCCTTTTGCAAGTACATCTACTGTGTCTGTCTCGTTCTGTAATGGCTACACTGTACGGTCACACAACAGGATGCTGAACTAGTTAGTTCTTCTAGTCTTCTCCATTAGTGCTGATGCTGCTTCCTAAATCCAGCAACTACAACACCCTTCATGTCAACAATCTTTACTCTCCAAAGCAAATCTAAGGGACTCCTACACACAGGTTCGCTGGGACTAAGGACATCAGCTTTTTACCCTGCAAGCTAACTATCACTGCAGTGATTTTTATTACTCAAGCACTCCAAAGGGTGTATAAAACACACCAGTGATAGTAAAGGTACAATACACATCTGCTGTCATTTCTCAACCCTGACTATGAATGAAGTCTCTCCCCACAGGAGGTGTTCAAAGCCCCTAGGGGAGGAAAGGAGGCAAGGTTCCAGGCCTGGCCAAGCCCTGGCTGCTCAGACAGCTTGGATGCCTGCTCTACCTCACTCTTTCCCTAGGTGCTGAAACGCTGCAGAGTTTGAAAAAGCCAAACCAAACTAAACAAGCTCTTTGGCCCTCGCCAATTCCATACCTCATCTCGTCTTCCACCATTAGAAGAAGAGCTAAAGGGTTTGCTGCTGCCACCGCCCCTCTGAGGAGGCATCTTGTTAAAAGTTTTGCTTTTCTGTGAATTGGAGCGACGGGACTGGTTGCTAAAATTTTCATTTTTGGGGTAGGAAGATTCACGCTTGCGATTGTAACGCTTGGATCCGTTTGAGTTCTTTCCATCTGAAAGCAAAAAGAAATAGTAATAGTAAGTTTTATGTTTTTCCACCCACATGGCTGATTTCTATCTTCCAGCAAAGTTTATAGTCCTAGAAGTCAACGTTCCTCCTGCCTCGGCCCCTAAACACTGAGACTCAGGCACACCCTCACAAACTTGTCTTTTGCTGCTTTACGAGCAGTTTCATGTATCCCTAGTCTTCAGTCTGGCTTGGCAGCTCACACCTATCAAGCATTTGGGAGGCTGAGGAAGGAGGATCATCCAAAAGCCTGGGTGAAAAGTGATAGAGTGAAATCCTGGATTAAATTTTTTTTTTATTACACACTATTTATTTTGCATGTGTGTATGTGTTTATATGCAGGTACCATAGCACATATGAAAAGTGGGAATGGGTTCTGGAAAAAAGGACAGTCATCAGGCTTGGCACCAGGTTGGAACTTGGCGAGCCAGTTCCCTAGACCAAGAATCAGAAACTGTAAAGGGGCTGAGGAGAGGATTCAGTGGTCAATAAGTACTGTCACTGAAAGCACAAGATGGAGTCAGATCCCCAGAACCCATGTAAAAGCTAGGCAGCTATGACAACTGCCTATAATCCCAGGGAGAAGCTGGTTAGCTAGACAAACCAGAAATCACAAGTTCCAGATTCGAGAGAGGCCCCGCCTCAATCCATAAACAAATAATGTAATTTATAAATGAGAGTGATGGGGGGCGGGAGGGGGAAGGACAGTGGCATCCGTGGCTGATATGTAAAATTAAATTATAAAATTAAAAATAAATAAAAAAATGCATGAGAGTGATCAAGGAGGACACTTGACATCAACTTCACACCTGTGCACATACAAACAAACAAGCTTATACACTTGTACACATCACACACATAAAAGCAAAGAACAGAACAAGCAGCCAAGGGCTGTGGCACACCTGCTAACCCTAGCACTTAGGAAGCAGAAGCAGGAAACTGATGTTCAAAGGCAGCCTGAGCTATACTTGAGGCTATGTCTCAAAAGACAGTTGGGAGCCGGGCGGTGGTGGCGCACGCCTTTAATCCCAGCACTCGGAGGCAGAGGCAGGCGGATCTCTGTGAGTTCGAGGCCAGCCTGGTCTACCAAGTGAGTTCCAGGAAAGGTGCAAAGCTACACAAAGAAACCCTGTCTTGAAAAAACAAACAAACAAAAAAAGACAGTTGGGGTCTGGAGAAGTGGGTCAATGTTAACAACATTTGCTGCTCTTGCAGAGGACCCGAGTTCAGTTCCGGAACTCACATAGTGGCTCACAACCACCTGTAACTCCAGTCCCGGGGAATCTGAGGCCCTCTTCTGACCTCTGTGGGCACCAGGCGCAAATATGGTGCACACATAAAAATGCAAGCAAACATGCACATAATTTTCTTTGAAAAGTCACCTACCCTTCAAAAGCACAGTAAATGGCTACACAGTTGCCTATTATTGAACTAATATCATGATATAACCAATACATTTAGTAGTGTTCAACTTTCTGCTAGTTTATTTATAAAGAGGTCTATATGGTCATGTCAAATATTCAAAGGGAAATTAGCTTATAAAGTACAATCATGAAAGCCCTTTACACATCCTGAAGCTGCATTGTAGAAATTAATGACAACTGATTTATACCCTAAGAGCACCATACAAGAGAATGTGTCAAGCTCACTATATTCCTGTTAATAATAATAGCAACTTGAATGAACTTTGTCCAAATGCAAGGACAAATGATTTCTGATTTTATTTTATTTGGATTTTTGGTTTCTGATTTTAAACTTGAATTTCTCTAATTAGCAATAATACTTTTTCAGTCCATCTGCTGACCATCTATATTTTGGGTAAAAAGCCTGCTTGATTTGTTTTAGAGACAGTCTCTCACATAGCTCCAGGCTGGCCTCAAACTCACTCTACAGGTAAGAATGACCAATCTCAAGCTGGAGAGATAGCTCAGAGGTTAAGAGCACTGGGTACTCTTCCAGAGGTCCTGGGTTCAATTCCCAGAAACGACATGGTGGCTCACTACCATCTGTAGTGAGATCAGGTGCCCTCTTCTGATATGTAGGTGTACATACAGATATATAAAATAAATAAATAAATCTTTTAAAAAATGTCCATTCTCCTGCCTCTACCTCCCAAGTGCTAGGATTAGAGGCATGTACCACTCAGCCTGGCTGCCTTGTTCTTCTTTTCTTACCAAGAGAATGAACTTGAGGATTTCTGTTGCCAGGATCCACAAATTACTAATGGAGTTTAACAAAAAACCTGGGTCAATACACACACATGGCAGTTTACAAGCTCAAAATAGGGGGGCTGGGGCGAGAGGCTCAGTTGAGTATAAAATGGTTCATTTGAAAGCATGAGGCTCTGCGTGAGGACCCCAGTGCCCACATTAAGAGCTAGATGCACCAACACACAACTCTAGCTTGAGGGGAGGCAGAGGCAGCTGGAGTTCAGGGGCTTGATGGACAGCCAGTTTGGCCAAAAAGGCAACCCCCAGATTCAATGAGATATACAGTCTCAAAAAAAAAATAAAGTAGAAGCAATACTCAACACTGACCGCTGGCCTCCATATGTGCATTCAAGGGTGAGAGCATGTACAAACACATGTGCGCACACTCCAAAAAAATATAAACATTGAACAGATGAGGCAGATCAGCATGTTAAAGCCTGCCACCAAGTCTGAGGGCCTGAGTTCAACTCCCAAGACTCATATAAAGGAAGTAGAGAACCAACTCCTCCTGTAAGCTGTCTTCTGACCTCCACATGCTCCCCATGGCATGTGTCGGAGCCCATCTACCTATCCCCCCCACATGGCTAGGCATGATGGCACACAACTTTAATCTCAGTGTTCAGAAGTCAGAGGCAGGTGGATCTCTATGAGGACAGCCAGTGAGACCTTGTCAAAAAAAAGGGGGGGGGGTAAAAAGAACCATATACAACTAAATAGATAAAAATCAAATTGTAAAATTAAAACACACACACACACACAAAACTACCTCACAAAAACAAAGGTTCCCAAATCACAGTCATCCTACTGCAGTATGGAAATCTGATTAAGTACAGGCACTAGTTTATTGGCTTGAAACAGGAAAGGAAAAACTTCGCTGCACATGGTTGCACACCTCTTTAGTCCTGGCACTCTGGAGGAATAGGCAGAGGCAAGCACATCTTTGAGCTGGAGGCCAACCTAGTCTACATAACCAGTTCCATGCCAACCAGGGCTACATAGCTACATAGTAAGTACATAGTAAGACCCTGACTTGCCGAGTGGTGGCGCCGCACGCCTTTAATCCCAGTACTCAGGAGGCAGAGGCAGGTGATCTCTGTGAGTTCGAGGCCAGCCTGATCTACAGAGCAAGTTCCAGGACAGGCTCCAAAGCTACATAGAGAAACCCTGTCTCGAAAAACCAAAAAGACCCTGACTCAAAAAAAAAAAAAAAAAAAAAAGTGGAAACTTTCTTTTTCTTTGAAACAGTCACACACGGACTAGCTCTGAGTCTGGGCTCAGACCTCCTGAGTAGCTGAGACTGCAGGCGCAGACCCTTCAGCCCAACTGATGCTGGGCATGCTCAGACTCTAAGGGGACGGCAAGGGACTCTAGCATGAGCCTCAGAAGCTGAGGACTTAGACTCTCCCTTCCAAACAGAACTTCATTTTGTTTATATGAAAATATATAACTTGAGGCTGGAGAGACGGCCCAGGGGCTAAAGCACTGTCTGCTCTATTAGAGGACCCAGGTTCAATTCCCAGTACCCACATGGGGTCAGAACCATGTGTAACTCTAGTTCCAGAGTATCTGGCACCCTCCTTTGGCCCCCTTGAGCACCAGACACACATGTAGTTCAAAGACATGTAGGAAAAACAAAAAAGCTAGTAATAGAAAATAAAAAAATTAATAAATTGTTCTTTAAAAATATATAACTGAGCTGGGTGGTGGTAGTGCGTGCCTTTAATACCAGTACTCGGTAGACAGAGGCAGGTGAATCTCTGAGTTCAAGGCCAGCCTGGTCTACAGATTCAGTTCCAGGACAGCCAGGGCTACACCGAGAAACCCTGTGTGTGGGGAGGGGGGAATCTGGATGTGGTAATGCATATACATACATGTGCAATCCTAGCACTAGCCTATAATTCTAGCACTTGGTAAATGGAGAATCAGAAGTTCAAGGCCAGCCTGGGCTAGAGTATGATACCTTGTCTCAACATACACACTTAAAAGAAAAATACCTAAGAAATAAATTTAAAAAAAGAAACATCCTGCAAAGAAAATACATTCAACTATTGATAATGAGCTTTTTCTTTCTTGCAAACACCTGTCGTTTGTCTGTTTAGAATATTTTTTAAAATGATAAATACGGAGGGAGTGCTTCAGGAATCTGCATGTGCAGGGAAGGTCCACATTAATCTTAGTCCACACAAGCAGCCTGATGAACTCTAGGAGGTTCCTGCACTCTGACTTGCTCTCAGAGACTCTGACTCCAGTACAAAAGTATGACTCTTTTAAAAGAGGTGGGCACTTTTTCCCCCCTGAAACAAGAGCTCACTCTATAGTTCAAGCTAGCCTAGAACTCACTATACTGTACCTCAGGCTGGCCTCAAACCCAAGGCAATCCTTCTGGAATTACAGGCATGAGCAACCGTATCCAGCCACCACCTGAGTAAATTTTTAACTTAAAAGAAAGTGCTTCTACATAAGATCACAAGCTTATTGTACACCAGGCTAGATAAATCTAAGAAAAAGCTATGAATCCTAATTTATATTTATTTATCGTGTATGTGTATGTGTTGGGTACCACACGGAGGTCAAAGGACAACTTGCAGAAGTTGGTTCTCTCCTTCTACCATTTAGTCCCAGGGATTGATCCAACTCAGATGGTCAGGCTTGGTGGTAAGGGCCCTTACCTACAGAGCCATCTTGCCAGCCCATAAATCCTAATTCTGAAAGCAGCACATGTCATGGAAAGAAGGAAAGACATGCCAGCCCCTCCAAACCTACCCAGCTGCAGCCA